TTTGTTTATAACGATTTAGCGTTAATATCAACAAACAATATTTTGTTTATAACGATTTAGCATTAATATCAACAAACAATATTTTGTTTATAACGATTTAGCATTAATATCAACAAACAACATTTTACTTCTACCAATTTAGCATTAATATCAGCAAACAACATTTTACTTCTACCAATTTAGCATTAATATCAGCAAACAACACTTTACTTCTACCAATTTAGCGTTAATATCAGCAAACAACAATTTACTTCTACCAATTTAGCGTTAATATCAGCAAACAACATTTTGTTTATAACGATTTAGCGTTAATATCAACAAACAATATTTTGTTTATCGATTTAGCGTTAATATCAACAAACAACATTTTGTTTATACCGATTTAGCGTTAATATCAACAAACAACATTTTGTTTATACCAATTTAGCGTTAATATCAACAAACAACATTTTGTTTATACCAGTTTAGCGTTAATATCAACAAACAACATTTTGTTTATACCAATTTAGCGTTAATATCAACAAGATATCAACACTGCACTTATTAAATAGTAATTTTCAGGCACAAAAATTAGATGTTTGTTAGCACTCGTGTTTTTTTGCGCTATTACTATATCACGTACACATAATTAGAAGTCCATTAACGCATTTTCAAAGCATAGCGTAAAAAAAAGAGATAATTTTCAATAAAATAGCATTAAAATTAGTTAGCTTCAAGAAACCAAACCAAGATATACCTGTCGTCCTAACCACGTTTCTATTTGAAGAGAAGTGATATAGATAGACTATTAATGCTGTTGTTCAATCGGTATAGAGGGGAAGAAGTGAAAACAAGGTTCAATTATTAAACTAAACATTCACAATATATATATATATATATATATTATTTAACGTTTCAGACTATGTCTTTCTTCCGAAGGTGTCGCTATGCCACTCTGTGTACAATATATTTTATATTTCTTAAATTGCCTTGTTTAATAAAATAATATAACCATTCAGTCATATTTGTCGTGCAGAAAAACAACAACAACACATTTCTTGTTAAGGTTACAATCCTCTCAAATAAAAAAAATGTCCTCATACTTATAATCTAGATTACGTACATATATTTTTTGTTTTTAAGAACAGGGGATCGATACCAGTGCGATAAGGTTTTCCTGAAACGTTTCTCTGGTTCCGTTTTTTTTTTCGTAGTTATGGAATTTGAAATAGGATTCGCTCTGTGAAACGTATCTGCCTCTGCACGTTCTTCAATTAAGACGCATGAACCGTAATATACTAAATATTTACTCGCATTAAGACGCATGAACCGTAATATACTAAATATTTACTGGCATTAAGACGCATGAACCGTAATCTACTAAATATTTACTCGCATTAAGACGCATGAACCGTAATCTACTAAATATTTACTCGCATTAAGACGCATGAACCGTAATATACTAAATATTTACTCGCATTAAGACGCATGAACCGTAATCTACTAAATATTTACTCGCATTAAGACGCATGAACCGTAATCTACTAAATATTTACTCGCATTAAGACGCATGAACCGTAATCTGCTAAATATTTACTCGCATTAAGACGCATGAACCGTAATCTGTTAAATATTTACTCGCATTAAGACGCATGAACCGTAATCTGCTAAAGTCGTGAAGGTAGATTGTATATAAAGCATTCCTTTTTCTTTAATATTCATGAACTCTGAATGATTGGACGGAAAAAAAATTAATTATTTTAACCTTGAGTTTTGATTAAGCAAAGTGATGATCGTTTAAATTAGATTGGTGCAATACAATATTTCTGTATCTTAATGACTGATCTATATATTATCATAAAGCTGCGTAGGACTTATCAGTGTTTGTACTTTATTATATACCTCATACAACAACAAACTTACATAAACTGTTGGTTATATAAATATCCACAAAAAATAATTGAGTTAGTGTGTGAAATCATAATTCATCCTTCTATATTTTAGTTTATTATGGTCCACAAAAAATAATTGAGTTAGTGTGTGGAATCATAGTTCATCCTTCTATATCTTAGTTTATTATGGTCCACAAAAATAATTGAGTTAGTGAAATCATAGTTCATCCTTCTATATTTTAGTTTATCATGGTCCACAAAAAATAATTGAGTTAGTGTGTGAAATCATAGTTCATCCTTCTATATTTTAGTTTATTATGGTCCACAAAAATAATTGAGTTAGTGAAATCATAGTTCATCCTTCTATATTTTAGTTTATCATGGTCCACAAAAAATAATTGAGTTAGTGTGTGAAATCATAGTTCATCCTTCTATATTTTAGTTTATTATGGTCCACAAAAAATAATTGAGTTAGTGTGGGAAATCATAGTTCATCCTTCTATATTTTAGTTTATTATGGTCCACAAAAAACAACTGAGTTAGTGTGTGAAATCATAGTTCATCCTTCTATATTTTAGTTTATTATGGAAAAACAGTTGTAGTTTTACACTACCTAACTCGAAAGCACTTAGAAGCCTGTAACTGCTTTTAATTGTTTAAAACGCCCATCTGAGAATTATACAAAATAAGACCAAACGTAATGCGGCAAATGAAACTCAATGCAATTTTAGTTTTGTTACATTGAATAAAATAACATCAATGTTTCTTCAATATTTGATTTGACGGCCTTATTTCTTTGTTTTATCTGAATAAGAATAGAAAATAATCTTGTCATCGAGTTAGTATAAAAATGCTTTAATTGCTGTCTTTTTTTTTTCAAGAATAAACTTTAAAGCACAGATTCAAATATGATCTCAGAATTGTGTTGTAACACTATCTCTGTCGTATACATTAGAAGTAAAATTTGTTTTTACAATACATCATTTTACTAATATTCTTCATAACACATTATGTTTAAATGTTTAATTAGCCTTCGTCCAAGACTCGCCAGTTAATAATACTGAACTTATTTTCTCCTATGATAGAATATTTAACAATACTGAACTTATTTTCTCCTATGATAGAATATTTAACAATACTGAACTTATTTTCTCCTATGATAGAATATTTAACAATACTGAACTTATTTTCTCCTATGATAGAATATTTAACAATACTGAACTTATTTTATCCTGTGATAGAATATTTAACAATACTGAACTTATCTTTTCCTATGATAGAATATTTAATAATATAAAGCTAACCTTTCTTTATGATAGAATATTTAACAATACTGAACTTATTTTCTCCTGTGATAGAATATTTAACAATACTGAATATAAATTTCTCTATGATAGAATAGCTTACAATACTGGACAAATGCTCGTCAAAGACACATTATATTACAATATCTGGTTCACAAATGATTCCAAATTGTGTATTTTTAACATATCTAGAGTCAGTTATTTCCTCAAGATATAAAATGCAAACGTGGTATAATATTTAA